CTATATATATATATATATATATATATATATATATATTCAGATGTAGACATATATATATGTCTACATCTGAATTCTTTTTCTCTGGTTTACTGATCTTTTTAACTATTGTTTTATAAGTATCTCAGTCGTAATTTTGTCAGGTCTAAAATAAAATATTGTAAATCTTCCAATCTTGTTATTATCCCCAAGATTGTTTTGTTTATTCTATATGCTTTTGTGTTTCCATATAAGTTTTAGAATGAACTTGTCAGTTTAAAAAAAAAAATTCCATTTAGGTGGGAATTGCATTGAATCTATAGATCAATTTTGATAAAATCTACATTTTAACAGTAGGACATATGATCATGATTCTACCTTTTTACTTGGTTGGATCTTTAGTTTTTCTCCTCAACATATGGTAGGTTTTGGTGTTAAAGTTGAAGTTCTTGGGAACCAATTCCTATTCAGAACGCTAAAGGCCCATACCTTAAGAAATAAGATAGACAAGTGGGACCTCATCAAATTAACGAACTTCTGCAAAGCAAAAGAAACCATCAAGAGAGCAGAGAGACAGCCCACAGAATGGGACAAAATATTTGCCAACTGTTTATCTGACAAAGGCGTAACATCTAGGATCTACAAGGAACTCAAACGCGCCGAAAGGAAAAAAACAAACAGCCCCTTTGAAAGGTGGGCAAAAGACATGAATAGATACTTCTCAAAAGAAGACATATGGGCAGTCAACAGACACATGAAAAAGTGCTCAGCCTCACTCATCATCAGAGAAATGCAAATCAAAACCACGTTGAGATAACACCTAACCCCAGTAAGAATGGCCATCATTAATAAAACAAACAACAGATGCTGGCGAGGATGTGGAGAAAAAGGAACTCTTCTATACTGCTGGTGGGAATGCAAACTAGTAAAACCTCTTTGGAAGACAGTGTGGTGATTTCTGAAAGAACTAGAAATTGACCTTCCATATTACCCAGCAATTCCCCATTGGGAATATACCAGGAGGAACTCAAATCATTCTATAAAAGATACCTGCACGCG